CCTTGCCTTGCAGGTGGCCATCAAATGAGTGCCCCGGGATGGCATCCGGCAGTGGGGCGAGCTGGTGAGTGAGCGGGGCCGGCGGGAGAAAGCGGGGCGTGACGGGCGGGGACGAGCCGAGGCCCGGGAGGGTGGAAGCCGCCGGGACACCTGGATGCCCACCCGGTGGGCATGGGGTCAGTGGGGGGCGGGGAGCATGCAGGGCTGGCGGAGGCAGACAGGCACGGCATCGGCCCCACTGACGACATTGTGGTCCTCCCACAGCCTGACGGCACCCGGGCACGCCTGGAGATTGTGCTGCTGGACAACGTGTCCAATGGGTTTTGCGGTGTCATCCAGCTCCTGGAGTGGTTCGAGCTCCCCAACAGATTTTTGTTGGTGATGGAGCATCCGGAGCGCTCTCAGGACCTCTCTCACTTAATCACGGCGTGGAGGTTCCTGCCGGAGGAGATGGCGTGGGGGCTGTTCCACCAGGTGCTGAAGGCCGTGCGGCACTGCAGCAGCTGCAGCGTCCTGCACTGGGACATCAAGCCCCAGAACATCGTCCTCGACCTGGCCACCGGCGAGGCGAAGCTAATTGACTTTGGATGTGGCACGTTCCTTCAGGACACAGCCTACACCCAGTTTGCAGGTGAGCCCACAGCTGGGGGATGCTCCTGGTCCCAGACATCGTGTGGCCATGGCTGGGTGTGGCACCACAGATTGCCCCTTTTCCCGAGGGGGAACAAGGATTAGTTCTTCAGCCAAGTTGCTTTTGGACGGGGCTGGGGGGTTATCGTGAGACAGGCCCCGGCCTTGCCGACAGCCTGTGCCACCCGCCCTGTCCCAGGCTGGGTCTGGGGCAGAGGGGAGCCAGCCTGACAAAAACACCCCTGAGGGCAGCAGAGAAGGGGGTCAGAACCTGGGCACCAGCTGGCTTGGGGTGCAGGTGAGGAAGGGCTTGGGCTGCTCCGCTCGCCTTGTTTGCCTTGCCTTATGATTACTTGTTGGGTGCAGTGCTGTGGGGCAGGGAGAAAGCATGGCTTTTCCCCACCACTGGGTGGGTTTTTCCCTTGCATGGAATGGTTGGGCCTTCCCAGGGCTTCCACTGCCCTCTTGGACACCAGCGGCTTCTTCTACAAGGCAGAGTTTGGAAACGAGTCAGGTGCCGGCAAGAAGGCAGTGGGTCACACTGTGTGCCTCTGGGGCAGGCCCCACATTCCCAGGGACACTGGGACGAGGCTCTGGGAGCAGGCAGCACCCACCTGCTGAACTCCATCTGTATTCCATAGGAACACCGTTGTACAGCCCGCCAGAGCAGATCTGGCTCAAAAGCTACCACAGCGAGGCGGCAACGATCTGGTCCCTGGGCATCCTGCTCTACCAGATGGTCTGTGGGCAGTACCGTTTCTGGAAAGGCAGGAGCACCATCTGGGGCCAGCTCTCGTTCCCATGACAGGTCTCTCAAGGTGGATACCAATCTTTGTGGCCGGGGGGCAATACC